AAAAACTACGTTATGCAGGAAAAAAAAAAACTGAACAGCTTTTGCCTCAGGGTCACATCGAAATTCTAGACCTTTTTCTTTTTTCTTTTTTTTTTTGGCCCGGCCGGGCAAGTGGTCCCGGGCCACTCTGGTAGCCTAGAAAAATCTGGAAAAAACAAATGTTACGCAGAAAAATAAACTGAACAACTTTTGCCTCAGGGTCATACCGAAATTATTTGCCAAATTAAAGTGCATAAATAAATAAATCAAAGTATTGTAAAAGAATTTGGCTGGGATTTCATGTGAGAGGGCAAGGAAAAACCGCACTAAAGGAAACAAAAAAAACTTTTGAAAAACAAAAAAAACTTTTGAAAAAAAAAAAAAAAACTTTCGAAATTAAAAAAAAGCTTTTGAAAAACATTTTTTTTTCTGAAAAACTAATAAAAACGCGCTGGAGACAACTATAAATAAAAAATTAACACAAGAGAGGCAATCAAGTCTCGTGACCAGCAAGTAGGGCCTTGCCACACAACACACGAAACCGAAAAAAAAAAAAAAAAAAAAAAAAGAACCAGTGAAGATTCATATGTTGCTATGAAAAGTAAAGAGCGTATCTTGCCACCTTCTGCGGGAAGATGCACTCGTTTTTTTTTTTTTTTTGTTGCGGCTGTTGTGTGGCGAGGGCCTTATATAGTAGTGGTCTACTAAAAAGAAAAGAAAAGGCCATCGTCTCGCATCCCAACAATCAATCAAGAATGATAGTTCTCTGTGCTTTCGCCTGTCTCTCTACCAGCCTATGAGAATTCTTCCGGGTCTCTATCAAATTCTACTTCTTTATTTTTTTGTTTTTGGGAAAATTGCATCTGTACCCCACTTAATGGAACGAGGCCCCTATATACTGTCACTGCTTGCAGGTTAACTGAGGCAGTGAATTGGTAGAGGAGTATCAAATTATGTATTATAATACTATTATTTTTATTTTCTATTTTTTATTTTTTTTTATTTTTATTTTATTATTATTTTATTAATTTTATTCTATTTTATTTTTAGTAAAAAAATGGGTATGGAGCCAGGACCATAAGGAGTATTAATTTATCTAGTTGTGGTTCTGTCAAAATGTAGAAACGATTCTGTCAATGACACAGTGGGCCTTGCTCCACAACTCACCAAATTTGCAAACTGAGAATGAATCTTCCGCTAGAACATGGGAGGATACGCTGCCAATTTTTGTCTTTTGTGGATCTCGTGAGTAGTGGAGCGAGGCCCAATGTGTGTTTTTCGTGTCTGCGGTTACATGATCTCTGCTACATTCACCTGGTTTTTTTTTTTTGTTTTTCCAGTTCAACTTGGGTCTGTATTTCAACAGGTGAAGGTTGTACCAACTGAGCTGGGCTCGCTCAGCTGATCTTAAATATTGTGCACATGTGTTTTTTCTCCCATTATTCGTCCTGTTTTGGCATATGGCAGGCCTGTGGAAATCAGCTCCAAAAGGCCGGTCCCGCGATTTCGAGAGGTTGTTCAGCCAACAAAGAAGGTAAAGTTTTTTTTCACGTTGCCAACTGGCCAAGTGTATTCTGACCCACAGCAAACACACTCACACGCCTCGCTGCAGACTAGAGAGGGGTGTGTGTGTGTGTGTGTGTGTGTGGAGAGAGAGAGAGAGAGAGAGAGAGAGAGAGAGAGAGAGAGAGAGAGAGAAAGTCCAAGATCTTGGCGCCCAGTAATGCAGCAGCGCTCTTGCATAAACCAGAGAGAGAGAGAGAGAGAGAGAGAGAGAGAGAGAGACATACTGTCCCGGATGTTGTCCAGATCCAATCGCACAATTTTTATTTTATTTTTTTTCCATGACTCGATAAGAGTTTGCCCTGCTGTGGTTCTCTGGGTGTTGATACAGCATGAGCTCCACTCACAAATAATTCTTCTAAGAGGTGCATGATATTTTGGAACGCTTGTTTCTGAAAGAATAGTGTGCATTTTCCCTTTTTTCTTTGCTTTTCTTTTTTTTTTTTAAGAATATTCAATATTGTTCATTGCCTTTATGGAGTTTTTTTCAACTTCTTTTGTTCCTTCTGTGATCTACATTGAGAGAAAGATGTGCATCTCCTTTCAGAAAAGCTGAGGTTGTGCTTTGTGAAGCGTCAATTCCCAAAAGAACGACATGCTCACTGAATGATTCACTCAGCAGTCAGATAAAGTTTGTCACAGACCCAAATTGCCTTTTTTTTCTTTTTTTTGTTAAATTTGGACCACCATTTCTCGATTTATGCGTGCCATCCTTACGCAGAGGCCATGCGCATCTTCGCTGTATTGTTCTAATCCTTTTAGTGGATGTCGGGAAGGACACGGAGGCCCAACACTCATCTGTCAGACGAACCAAAAAATTTGAAGGAAAAAAAAAATCGCTCTGTGATTTTCATTCAGTGTGTGTCTCGTCTGACGAAACTTGGACCTGTGAAATGGAAATCCTAAATTTTGGGTCTCTCTAGCCTTTGCACAAAGTTTGGGTCTGTGAAATGGGGATCCACAAAAGCGCAGCGATTTACATTGCGAAGAAAAAGAAAAAAGAAAAAAAAGTAAAGGAAAAAGAAAAGGAAAAAGAAAAGGAAATAGAAAAGGAAAAAGAAAGAATGTTCACCACTTTTTGTGGAATGTTTTCTTGTCGCCTGGGAGCACAGAGCGTTTGCTCGTCTGACCTTGTGCAAAGGTTGTCGCAGGGAAGGGATTATGAAGCCCTTCTTCCAAATGCTTTTTCTTGGATGTTGATGCTGGTATTGGGCGCCGTAACTTCTTTTTTGTGATTTTGCCTTTGCCTTTGCCTTTGCTTTTGTTGTTGTTGTTGTCTGTTGATTTGTGTTTGTTGGTGCCGTCGTTGTCGTTGTTGTGGTTGTGAGGTGTGTGTGTGTGTGTGTGTGAGAGTGTGTGTGTGTGTGTGTGTGTGTGTGTGTGTGCGGGTGGGTGTGTGTTGTGTAGGAAATACGAGATCCCCGGTTTGAATCACTTTCAGGGAAGTTTAGCGAGACGGGGTGAGTATCGGTTTGGATGTGATTTTGATTTGTATCTTCTCTAGTCTTTTTAGTTTTATTGATCATCTATCTTTTAGAGTTATAATTGTTTAAGCAATTTATTTGATTTTTTATGTTAATAACTAAGCTATATTCCTCTCTCATATGCCTCATAGTACCTATCCTGGTATCTCTAAGTCCAGTTTCAATTCTGAAATTGTTGCAGTTATGGGTTGATGAATACCTTCATCATTCATTACTATTGACAAAATAAATTAATAATTAGTAATTAATAATAATAATAAATAATTATTCATCCCTACACTATTAAAATCGCTAACGTGACAAATCTGAAATCCGGGCCGTTGTTGGTCCTACCGGCCCACGGCCCAGATCAACCGAACCATGTAACAAATCTGAAATCCCGGCCGTCGGGTCCTACCGGATCGACGCGCCGTATCAGCGCGATCTTAAGATCTTAAGAGCGTGCATCAATCCAGGCCGTTAGCCCGGTACCTTGGACGCGACGGCAGGGATTACTTGCCTGTTGGAGAGGGCCGCGGTACCTACCAGTGATTTCTTGGCGCGGTACCTACCGGTGGGGTTTTGTGTTTGGGCAAACGGGTTCCCATAGGCTGTCCGTGATGTAACTATTTTTTCGTGGCGGCGTGCACTGTTTCTGGATGGGGGCGTGGCTTTTTGGATGCCTGTTTTTGGATGGGGGCGTGGCTTTTTGGATGCCTGTTTTTGGATGGGGGCGTGGCTTTTTGGATGCCTGTTTTTGGATGGGGGCGTGGCTTTTT